GGCTGAGTGGAATAAGATTCCACCACAAACATGTGTAGATTTAATAACAAGTATGCCTAGGCGTGTTGCTGCTGTCCCAAAAGCCAAAGGTAGCCACACAAAATATTAATAAAACACTATTTTCAAAAATTTTAACATAAGTTACAAAACCAGCTCAATGCACTAATAAAATTTAAAAAATCATAACTCTTGAAGTATTGAGTCTTTTCAAATAAAACAAAAGCGAATTAGAAGCCAGAATGCAAGACTATATCCAGTTTAAATTTCATATAAATTGGTCGGATATTTGTGGAGTTATAAGCTTGCACATTCAATTCTTTCAAACATTGAGCTGGTTTTGTAAGTCACTGTAACTGATAGCAACTTCTCCAATATACACATAATAATAAATAATACTAATACATGTCATTACTTGACAAAATTATCTCTCAATTTATTACCTAATATTAATACATAACCATAAAGACAAAAGGGAGGTGAAGCCTCCTAAAAGACAAAAGGGAGGTGAAGCCTCCTAACTACTTCTCACTATACTTAGTATTAGGTAATAAAAAAGGTCACATGAGTTCAACATCAACCACAACATAAAACTTATAATACTAATACTAAGGGATAAAAACTGGTTTTGTAAGTCACTGTATTATTATATGAACATATGTTATCCTTTGCTTTATAAGAGGTTATAATCCAAGCTGCTTTGATGTAAATTGCACATTTGGTACTTCATATATATAAATATTGCAACTTGTGAATCATATATTATATATCACTGAAAGTGAGTCAGCTCATTAATTCGAGGAAAGACTATGGTTACGAAGTATTATAGTCACCCGTCTACTTCAAAATGGCCTTGAGACAGTAAATAGATTAAAGTGTATATGGAGGTGGAGAAGAATATTGCTTGATAGTCTTTAATCGAAGTGGGAAGGAGGTAATGGTTTTATGAAGGCGATATGAGTTGAGACGTGATATACTAATACTGCAGTTGTTGTTGGAATTGTATCACCATTATCAGTAATGCGCAATATTTTCGTAAAGCTGTTTTCAAAATTCTAGAACACCCCTCGTGACAGATCTCACCTCTGTTATGCCGCGCCAATCAGCTTGTGTAAAAATTTAATCTTGCCGCGCCAATAATATTACGCATGCAGAGAAACGCAAAGCCGTAAGAACTAGAAGAATATGCTGCAGGACAATGCAACACCAATCAGTGGGCCCTGAAGAATCTACGTTGAATAGTGTCAACGTTAATGTAAATATTGATATCGAAACGGAGGGACAACATAACAAATTACTACGCGAACGAGTACAGATGACGAGAGAGTTACTGAACATGGAAAAGGAACTTAGTCAATTCGAAATCAACAATAGTAAAGTATCGAGTCTTGGACTACAAACTATATGGCACCCCAACTATAATATACCAAAGCATGTCTGCTGTGGTCAACAGGCATGTATAGCTTATTGGCAGCACGCGCAAATGATTACTATTATGATTATTATGAATAGTACATATTGTAAAATACGAATTGACTAAAGTTTGCATTTGAAACGTTGAGGCTGGGAATTTAGTTATTAGCTTATGGTGGGATATGCTAATTGCAGTACAGTACATCAATGACAAGCTTTACCAGTGCTTCTCTCTTTTCCAGCCTGACGAATGAAAAATGACAATGTCGTATTAGGTTATTTGACCAAAGCTTTCTATGCACAGAATTTTGCGTTTAAACTTTATAATGGATAGTAATATTTATATTAGACAAATTCCGTATGTTTGACTTAATAGTAAAGGGCTGTACTGTAATTCAAAACTAGTACATAGTACAGGCCTTGAAAAGGTACAGTACAGCACTTATATTACAGTCTGTACTGTACCAAAAGTTATTACATATTGATAATTGAAATAGCACAGTACAGAATCTCGAACAGTACAGTACAGAAGTTCAGGATACTGTTTAGTTATGTCAGCTTTCAGACATTCAATTCACTTATGTGTTTGTATAAGGTAACAGCATTATGTACAGTGATACCTCCATAATATAAGTGCAATCCCTAATACTAAATACAACACTTTGTTAGGGGCTTAGTGGGGTAATAGCAAGTGCAACCCCCCATTTATTCTGAGAAAAATTCCCACCAGGTACAGAAAATGTAGACAAATCATAATCATAACAGCAAAGTGAAATCAGTTATTTGTTGACTAGTACTAGATAGTGCTGTATTATGACCATTATGCAATTAATATTAATGTTATTGGCTGAGCCTGAGGCAACAAATGAAAAATTTTATGTGTTCAGTCTCTACTATATGTTTTAATTATGGCTAGGATTGTAATTGGGACAATGGCATTACCCCAAATGCAAAGGCTATGTGTGGTGCACTTAGTGTTAAAAAAAAATATTTTGACAGACCTGGTGGTGAATATAGATATAAATTAAAATGGGATAAATTTTAGCAGCTATTAGTGAATCTTTTCAGCAACCAGATATACCTCAGAAATATATTCTTGACACATTTAAAGAGATTAGAGTCTATGAAACAGATGAAGGCTTAGCAAATCAATGCAAAGATGGATAACCACAGATTGGAAGGCTGGCAAAAGAAAAAGGGAAAAAATAAAATTGCTTGTAAATTAAACAAAGGCATCATTGTTAATTGATGCCCAATTGTAATCATATCAAAACATTTAATAATTATTTATGTAAAAATCCTTCCTTCAGAAACAAATCCTATTCCCAGACAAGTGAACAAATTGAAAAGCAATATTACAGAGACTGACTTTTCTCACATACTAATACTGGATAAGTCTTGCTGAATCAAATCAGTCAGATTCAAACCTGGTAATTAACTATATAGCATTGTTGGTTAAGCAGTAAGTATTAATTCTAGATGTTATATTAAATGTGATGTCAAAATTTTCTGAACAGACTCAACTTTCTGGCAATAATGTGTGAGGCCAGCATAGTGAGAGGTATGGTGCTCATTGATTTGTTTTATAAATTTAGTATTCCAGTACTCAGCATAAAAGATTGTGGGAAACAGCTGAATAGAATACAGAGAAGTTTGAAAGGAAATATGGGATTGACTCCTACTTATACTTAAGAATAAGGTAGTGAATAAGAACTTTGAAATGGGAAGTATATGACAATCTCAATTCCACAGATCAATCAGTAGCAGTGTAGATAGATCATTACTTCCTTGCAAAAAATAATTGAAAAAACAAATTAAGATAACTTGCATAGCAGGTTTCTACCAAACTAGTTCATATAAAAAACAAACTAAGTAAAATAGCAGACTTCATGATCACAAGGGGTATTGTATTGTGCTGGATTCTGTGGATTTAGTAAATGTTGAGGTACCAAACAGGCCAGTTCTTCATATTCATTTATTTGGAGGTTTGTATATAAACCTGGATGCCACAGAATTGGATTCAGTATAACAGGATATTGCACAACTAATACTTAAAAGAACTTACTTTTTGCACCCAAATCATTGACACCATCTTGAGGTGGAACATTACAGAATGCATCCATAAACATGTAACTGAATTTCCTGGATGTGCCTTTATGCCCACCAATTGGCAACTCAATAATCATGACAGCTCCATTGCTAAAGTCCCAAAACCTC